GGAAAGCTGATGTTGCGTGTGAAGATTATAGACAAGCTTTATCCAAGGAGATCCAGCTCTTGAAGTTGGGAAAGTGGTGCCTCTTCGGTTTTCGAACAAGCAATCCTGTCGGGGATCTGGCTCTTGTAAACTCCCATTTGGTTGATAGTGGATTCTTGGGTGAGCTCCTACTGCTCCGAGGACGTACTCCAGTTACATTGACTGTTGAGGAACCTCGTTAAAATCTTGGTGTCTTTAATATTTTGTTCTCATTTTCATTTGATAATTTTCTTGTGGGTTAGCTTGAGTTGGTTCCAACGGGTTTGGTGCTATCCTAGCACAACAATTGGTATCAGAGCACTGGTTGCTCTTGGGTACTGTCTAGTTGCCAAAGATGTCAGACGGGCAAGATGAGAATCCTTTTGGAAGCAGCTCCGGGTTTGCAAGAACTACGGTGCAAAATGCAAAGTTTGAAGTGGAAAAGTTTTATGGCACAAACAACTTCGGGATGTGGCAATGTGAGGTCAAAGATGTGTTGGCTCAACAAGATCTACTTGCCGCTTTGGGAGAGAAGCCGGAAGCTATGTCGAAGCCGGAATGGGAAAAATTAAATTTGTTGGCTTGCTCTTCAATTCGGTTGTGCCTTGCAAAAACTCAGAAGTATTTTGTGATGCGGGAGATATTAGCAAGTGTGTTGTGGAAAAAATTGGAAGACAAGTATATGACGAAGAGTGCAGAGAACCGGCTACACTTGAAGAAAAAGCTCTACCGCTTCCAATACAAAGAAGATACAAAACTGATTAGACACCTTGATGCTTTTAATAAGTTGATTGTCGACTTGTTAAATTTAGATGAGGATATTAAGGATGAAGACAAGGCCTTAATATTGTTGAATTCCTTGCCGGACTCTTATGAGCATTTTGTTACCACTATTATGCATGGTAAAGAAACTGTGAAATTTGAAGATGTGTCAAATGCCTTGATGAATTATGAAATGAGGCATAGAGACAAAAATGATGATAGTACATCTGAAGCTTTATTTGTTAGAGGTAGATCATCGGAGAGAAGATCATCTTCTAGTAGGAAAAAATCACAGTCTCGACCTAGAGGAAACTCTAAAGGTAGAAAACCTTTGGAAGGGGATGAATGTGCCTTTTGTCGTAATAAGGGCCATTGGAAGAAAGATTGTCCTAAGTTGAAGACCAAAGGAAAAGAAAGTTCTGAAGCCAATGTTGCTGAGGTTGAAACAGATTTTTCTGATTTTGCTTTAACCACTTCCTCATCATTTGATTGTGCTACTAAGTGGGTGTTGGATACGGGTTGTACTCATCATATGACTCCTCACAAAGATTGGTTTTCAAGCTTGAAAGAGTTTGATGGTGGCGTTGTGTTCATGGGAGATGACAATCCTTGCACAACAAAAGGGATTGGTACAGTTCGTTTGAAGTTGCATGATGGCATGGTTAAAGAGTTGACAGGTGTTCGGTATGTACCGAATTTGAAGAAAAATCTTATTTCTTTGGGTACTTTGGAATCTAAGGGCTTCAGGTATCATTCAGATGGACAGACATTGAAAGTTACTTATGGTGCACTTGTTGTGATGAAAGCTCTTCGATGTGGCCATTTGTATTTATTGCAAGGAAGCACTGTGACAGGTGAAGCATCTGTAGTCTCAGAAAATATGGGCATATCTGATTCTGATACTACTAGACTGTGGCATATGAGATTAGGCCATGCAGGTGAGAAAGCTCTACAAGGGCTTGTGAAACAAGGTCTTCTAAAAGGTGCCACGACCTGTAAGCTTGATTTCTGCGAGCATTGTGTCTTGGGAAAGCAAACTAGAGTGAAGTTTGGTACTGCTGTACATCAGACGAAGGGCATTCTTGATTATGTGCATTCAGATGTTTGGGGTCCTACAAAGACTCCCTCTTTGAGTGGTAGACATTGGTTCGTGACCTTTGTTGATGATTATTCAAGAAGGTCTTGGGTCTACACTATGAAGCACAAGAGTGAGGTGTTGAGCATTTTCTTGGGTTGGAAGAAAATGGTTGAGAACCAGACTGGGAGAAAGATTAAGATTTTGAGATCGGATAATGGTGGTGAATACACATCCGACCCTTTCTTTAAAGTTTGCAAAGAAGAAGGGATTGTGAGACATTTCAGTGTTCGGGGAACTCCACAACAAAATGGAGTTGCAGAAAGATTGAATCAAACCTTGCTTGAGAAGGTTAGATGTATGTTGTCTCAGTCGGGTTTAAGCAAGTCATTTTGGGCAGAAGCAGTTAATTATGCATGTCACATCATCAACCGGTTACCCTCAGCTGTTGTTCAGGGTAAGACACCAATGGAGGTATGGACTGGAAAACCTTCTTCTGATTATGATTATATCCGTATTTTTGGTTCACCTGCTTATTTTCATGTGACTGAAAATAAACTTGATCCTAGAGCCAAAAAGGCTATCTTTCTTGGTTTTAGTAGTGGTGTAAAAGGTTACCGGTTGTGGTGCCTAGAGATGAAAAAACTTGTAATCAGTAGAGATGTGACATTTGATGAAGAAAGTATGTACAAAGTCTCTGAGAAGAATGTGAAAGATGTCCAACAGGTGGAGCTTGAGAAAGTTACCTCTGGTATTTCAAATCCTATTTCCGATGATGTCGAAGCAACTACAAGTGAAGAAGTTGGAGACCATGAGGATGTTGAAGAAGTTGAACTTGAAGATTCTATTCAAGTTAAAGAGCAAGTTTCACCTCAAGGGTCTATTACCAAGAACAGAGGAAAGAGACAAATTACCAAGCCAGCTCGGTATAGTGACTATGTTTCTTTTGCTCTTCCTATTATCACTGATGAGATTCCATCCAATTTCGAGGAAGCCATTGAGAGTGAGGAGAAGGAGAGGTGGTGCAATGCCATGGGTGATGAGATGAATTCTCTCTTGAAGAACAAGACTTGGGAGTTAGCTAAATTGCCTAAGGGCAAGAAAGCTATCGGTTGCAAATGGGTGTATGCCAAGAAGGAAGATGCTGATGAGAAAAGCAATGTGAGATTCAAAGCAAGATTAGTTGCTAAAGGGTATGCACAAAAGGAGGGCATTGACTACAATGAAATCTTTTCTCCGGTTGTGAAGCATTCCTCAATTCGCATTATGTTAGCTCTTGTTGCACAGTATGATCTTGAGCTTGTGCAACTTGATGTGAAGACGACTTTCCTACATGGTGATTTGAATGAAGAGATCTATATGTGTCAACCGGATGGGTATATAGTGAAAGGGAAGGAAAATTTGTTTTGCAAATTGAAGAAATCACTTTATGGCTTGAAGCAACCTCCAAGGCAATGGTATTTGAGGTTTGATAAATTTATGAGAGGCCAAAATTATTCTAAAAGTCAATATGATCATTGTGTGTACTTCAAGAAGTTGCAAGATGGGTCTTTCATTTATTTATTGATATATGTTGATGATATGTTGATTGCCTCAAAGAATGTTGAAGAGATTGAGAAATTGAAGAAACAAATGAAGAACGAGTTCGAGATGAAGGATCTTGGTGAAGCGAAGAAGATCCTTGGCATGGAGATCACTAGAGATAGAGCAAAGGGTTTCGTCAGTTTGAATCAAAGACAATACCTTGAGAAGTTGATTCGGAAGTTTGGAGTTCATGATTCAACCAAACCGATTATGCAGGTGATCTGGATGGAAGGAAGTCTACTACAGGCTATGTGTTTACTATGGCTAAAGGACCAGTTTGTTGGAGGTCCATTTTGCAATCGTCTGTTGCCTTGTCTACTACAGAGGCTGAATATATGGCAGTTGCTGAAGCTATAAAGGAGGCCATTTGGATACATGGGCTGATTAGAGATTTGGGGGTTGATCAGAAGCAGGTGGAGGTACATTGTGATAGTCAGAGTGTCATTTATTTGGCTAAGTATCAGGTTCATCATGCGAGGACCAAGCACATAGATGTGCGTTATCACTTTGTTCGTGAAATTGTTGGTGAAGGGGAAATCATTCTCCAGAAGATTCCAACTAAAGACAACCCCGCTGATATGTTGACTAAGGTTGTTGGTGTTGCCAAGTTTGTTCATTGCTTGAACTTGGCTCACATTTTGCATATATAAAGAAGGCGTTGAGCAGTAGGAGTTTTGGAGCATTTGGTTCGGCATGAATTGTTCTCTTGCTAGTGTTTGGGAGTGATTTTTTGGGTCAATTGTGTTGGTTGGCTTATTATGGCGTTTTCGGAACTTGGCCAAGGTGGAGATTGTTGAATTGTGGCCAAGTGGCCATCACCTTTCCTAATAAACAAACCAAAAGAAAAAAAAGAGGAAAGGACAACATGATTATGTTTCCTTGTTTTGTGGCCTGTTTTGTGGCTTTTTTAAAGCCATAATTATTTGATTTTTGGGTAGAAGAAAGGAGGAGAAATATAGAGGGCTCATTTTTCTGAAGAGAGAAGTTAGAGCTACCGAGAGCAAGGAGAGTTGTAGAGAGCCCAAAAGAAAGAAGAAGTTGCTGCTTCATTTGGTTAGTAATCATCCACCAAAGTAGTTGTTGTTGTAATAGCTTTGAGCTAAATATATGGAGAAGAAATTATTCATTATATTTCTTCCTCTATTTGTTTCTTTGGTGTGTGAGAGCTATTGGGTGTATTGGGTTATTTGAGTTGTGAGATTACCAACACTTTGTAAACTCCCATTTGGTTGATAGTGGATTCTTGTGTGAGCTCCTACTGCTCCGAGGACGTACTCCAGTTACACTGACTGTTGAGGAACCTCGTTAAAATCTTGGTGTCTTTAATATTTTGTTCTTGCATTTTCATTTGATAATTTTCTTGTGGGTTAGCTTGAGTTGGTTCCAACGGGTTTGGTGCTATCCTAGCACAACATTGAGTTTCATAGTAAAGACATAACATAAAAAACAGTAAAAGAAAACCTGTAAGTGCAAATTAAAGAATCAATCTTGTCGAAAACCAAGCAATAGGGAGGGCAAACACACATCTCAAATGATCATCATGTGATGAGAAGGCACTTACCTTTGAAAAGAATTTCTGAGCATGGCTTCTGATTTGCACAACAGTCTTTGTTCCAATATGTTCTGCAAATCAAAAACAGAAGAAAAAAGGGGGTGAAAATAGGATGATGTTACTAAATAAAGAAAAGAAATACATGAAAAGTAGCAGTTGAAGTCGTTTCTAACAAGAGCTATCAAGCAGATTTAGCTCAATCTCAACAAGAATTTTACACATTGAATGCAAACAAATCAAGTTCCAGCTCTCTCAGTAGCTGTAAGTAATGAAACAAACAAATCAGATAAGATAAAAATAAAGCAAATGTATCGTAACCTTCAATGCGCTGCCATGCTCGGCCATAAAGCTTCAGGGCCTCAAGAAACTTATTATGCTCCCCTTCTGTCCATCGCTCTCGTTGCTTGGTAGTAGTATAGGGCTTTCATGCCTACAACCATTAACACGAAAACAGTAATTCAGCCGCTCAGCACTCACTAGACACAATTTTAAACAAAAGAGAGTCACCCTGCTGCGTTACCTTGATGAGGAAGTCTTCTCCAGATGAGTGTGTGTCCATTACTAGTCAATACAACTGCAAAAGAAAGCCGCAAAATCGGTCTCTAATGTTCTAGCAGCACACTTCAACAGTTAAATTATCATTTGGGTAGCAATTAGGCAGTTCAATTTCAGTTGGCACTGACACTGAAGCTACTAGATAGATACTAAAATAAACCTAGTAAGAAGTTAAAACTATTTGGAAATAGTTGTTGACGTAAATAGTGACATATCAATTAAATATCAACGACATAGCAATTAAATATCAACGACACACTGAAAATCATGTCAGCAATTTCGGTTTGAAAATTTACCATTTCGACGAATTTCCCTTAATTAATCAAAATTTCAGAATTTCCTTATCCAGAATCCTCACCAAATCGAAACGGAACACTCCAAAACGTCTTACTAGGAAAAAAGAGAGGCGAATTTGATCAGTAAACATCAGCAATTTCTGTACTGACTAAAGCTTTGTCCTGCAATCTTTACCATCTGTTTTGTCGCTGAGAAAATTGAAAGCAAGAAAGAGATGAACTTTTTTTAATTTTATGCATTTAACAGTCCATATTTTCAACTTGAATTTTCCGATCAGTACTAAACGGAGAGTGAAGAAAGTACCTTGTGAGCGAACCATGGCGGATTGAGGGATTTTTCGACAAAAGGACAATGACGGGGACTACTCCAATTACTCACCAGAAACTTGCCAGAGAAGGCATAGTTTCCGGCGACGGTGGTTCGATCGGAATGGTGAGAAAATGGAAGATGATAACACAGCCTCCACAGGGATGGTATATACAGGCAGAGAGTTTGGCCGGTGGAATCATCAATGCCCGCCATTTGGTTCGGTCACACCAATCTGCCGACCGATTTCGAGTAATTTTATTGATAAAAAATTAAATATTTTATTTTATTTTCTACAATCTGAAAAATCAAAAATTAAAAAAAATAAAATGTTGGTTTTTAGTCTTGCTAAAACTAATTTTATTGATCGTTACCTATCCGTTAAAATATTTTTGGTATGAACATGTCAAAAAGTTTTTTAAAAAATCGGTTCGTTTGAAATTGTTTTTAAAACGGTATAAAAAAGATGAAATATGTTACGATTACGTTAAAAAGCGCAAATTTTTTTAAGCGTTTCTAACTCTAACAGTATTTTTTTATTTAAGCTTATAAAGATTTTGCTTTAGGGAGAAAATGGAAGAGCACTAAATTAGCTCCTACACTTATTAATAAGAATAAAGTTTTCTGCTCCAACTAAAAATAAAATAATTATAAAAAAAAGTTATTAATTACTTCGCCCTCAAATTGTAATTTAGTATCATTTTATACCATGAAATTGATTTAACTTCTGTTTGACGAAATGGATGAAAAACAGGACAAATTGAGACTAAATGAGATGGAAATGACAGTCTTTTGGGACATAGTGAGACAAAACCGACTAAATAACAATTTCATGAGGCAAATCAATTAATAAGATTTATAAAAATAAAGATAAAAAATCTCTTAGTTTCAAAGTTTTCCCACATTAAACCATCAATCAATCAAATATATTGAACATTGCTTCATATTCTACCTCGCATGGTGGCCTTTTTCTTTGGGATGCCCTTTGACCCTGAATTTCTTTTAATATTCTTGCAGAAGATGTAAATGTCTTTATTACGATTTAATAATGTTTACGCTTTAACAAAAAAAAAACCAACAAAAAAAAAAAAAACAAAACAAAGGGATCTTTAATGAAAAGGGCTTGGGCCAACAAATACTTGACCAAAAACCATCCCAAATGTTATTTAACTAAAATGACTCAAAGTTTAATAAAAACCCATCCAAAACTATTGTCCATGGGTCAAACTTACAAGCCCAATCTGCTACAAATCTACATTTCTGTAAATACTCCTAAATGATTCGATATTGTCCTACCTCTTCACCAACCTCAACCTAGCACAAAACCGCCATAATAACTCTTTGTCTTCCTATCAAATCGAATTCCCCTATTTCAAAAACAACCAAATCAAAGTTCAAATCAAAATTGAAAAATGAAGCATTCATCGGAACAAAGCCGCTGAAACCAATGCAAAGAAGTTTAATGGCAGAAATTGGCGAAAATATGCTTGGAAAAAAAAAAGAACCAAAACATAAAATTGTTTCTGAGAACCCAAAACATAACACTGTTTCTGGAAAAAAAAAATCAGATACAATATTTGTTTTGTTTGTGCACAAACAAACACTGTATTTGGAAAGAAAATAACCAAGATCCAGAAACGGTGACTTAGATTCCAAAAACAGTCTATGTTTAACCTTTGACTGTTTCTTTTCTTTCATGCATCAATTGATTATATTTAAGAAACATGGTGCTTATTTTGCTTTAAATCCAAATACAGTGAATTTCACTATTTCTTTTCTAGCTTACATTTAAGAAACAATGTGTCTATTTCATTTGGATTCAGAAATAGTAACTTAGATTCCAAAAACAGTAACTTAGATTTCAAAAAAAGTAATTTAGATTCCAAAAACAATGTTACTTAAAATCCAGAAACAGTTTATTTTTACAGTCCAGAAACAGTGACCCGTTATTATTATTGAATAGTATACAAATCTTAAATTTATTTTCTGGAGAAACAAACGATGAACTCCATTGACGAAGAAAATTGAAAAACAGTACCTCGAATACACTATGAATAATAACGACGATCACATTTCAACGAAATAATACAAAATATAAATTAAATAGCAAGATGATCTATATTTTTGTTTCAAAGAAAAAGAAGAAGGTCTGCAAAACAACGATGAACTCCATTAGCGACGAAAATCTGGAACTCAACCTAAAAAAGTTAGGGGTAAAATCAACAAATCATAATTTATTACAGTTTGGCCATTTTTAGTTCGACTACTTTAATATGGGCCTTGTATTAATCATTAAACGAAACTTATAACATGATTTTTTATTAAAACTAACACTTTTCAAACCATTTTCATTAATTTTATTAAAAAAAATACATTGAATGGTCTATTAGTTGAGAGTGATAAATGAGAGAGGACAAAGAAATTAATAAACAAGGATAACAGCCTCAAAAAATTGGTAAATGAATATACACAAATCTTTGAATATAACCTCATCCAATAGCAGTAAGCAAAAATACACTCTCGGAAAAATGCGCCTAAAGTGATGCGTTGTAGGCCCTAATCTGAAGTGGTAATTGAAGTGGGAAGGGGAAAGGAGAAAGTGGAAAACGGTTGGTGTCCCGGTTCTTTCACTACTGTTTACAGACGATGATTTTAATCTTTGTTTAATGAACGGCCTATACAATATTTGAAAAACAAAATTGGTCCCACGTTTTTTTGGTAAATCTATTACGTTCACGACATAAAGTTAATTACAGACTGTCATGTGGCATGTCTCTTCCTCATGTATTGAAGAGCGACACTTTTATTGTATCGTCTCACATTTTTGATACTGTATTAGTTTCAAAATAATTTTACACGATATATTATCGTCACAACAACAATGTATATGAGTAATGAAATCCTCCTCCATGCATTGAAAAAGATAAACCATAGCATGCAAGGAATTTATCAAAGAGGAAAGCTTCCGTGGAACTTTAATTGGGATGAACTATCAATCAAATTCGTCCAACAAATTAGGAATCCTTTAAATCATTCTTTTAATTTGTTAACAAGCTAATTAACACATGTGTAAAGTGCAACCATAATCACATGAACACATCTTTAATTACATGTGATTGTTACAAAGGATGAAACAAGAAGAAGTCTTTCCTCAAGCTTAAATCAAGATTTTAGACCGACCTACTTTGCCGTCCTCGTTTTGACACTCTAATGTTATTAACTTGTTATTTTCTTGGTTTTTGCTATTGGTCTTGTTCTTGGTTCATCTTTTTCCCCTAATATAGATAATTCACAAGAAAAATTATTTATGCACACTCATGGTTATTTTTTTGTAATTTATATTTCTTGTTGTGGCCTATTTATTGAAGGGAAAGAAAAAGAGAGAAAGGGGGACCGGCGGCAACAAAGAGAAAAAGAGAGAATAGGGCTCAGGGAAATTGTAGATATGTTTTCCTTGTGCCAATGCTTTTAGTTATAATAAACCATAAGGGAAGAGATACTTGTTTTCCAAATAATGCAAAACCTAACATGATAGAATCACCAAATTTATAGGAATCATAAACCAAATCTACTAAGAATTTGCACAATGACATATTAATTACAACAATTCTTTGGTTTATTTAATTAAAAGATCAACATGAATAAAAGTGTACGTGAAAAAAAAAAACGACGTGCAAAAATCACTTCTCAACCCAAAACCCTAAAATCTTGGATTTCAAGAATGGAGTTGTTTCCTTGCCCCTGACGTAATTGCCAAAATGAAATACTCAAGTACTCCATTTTTTGGTATTCGTTCTCCCAAAAAAAAAAAAAAAAAGACACACACACACACATTTGTATTGATGAGTATTTGGAAGCTTGGATTATGTTTGTATTTGTCACGTTTTAAGGGTGTGACTAAATTATTTTAGAATGCATCCATGCATTTTTCTTTTGTGGATAATAGCTGTTCATCCATATTTAGCATTCCTAATTAGCAATGTGCAAAATGAGCTTAATTGAGAGTTAGATTTAAGCTTATCGCTCTCCAACTTTTATGCTTTACATGTGGTTAGGTTTTCCTAATTGAAACCCTAAAATCAAGATGAAAGGTTGAACAAAGAGTTGTCCATTTTGGTTAATTCCTCATGGTGGTGACCATATCAATTTGGTGGGTGTCCAAGATCCTTTGTCACATGAACACCAATGACCCTTCCTAAATTCAATTAAAGCGCCCAATACATGGCCGCCTAACAACCTAACGCCTGCGATCGACTCCTTTTACGTGCACGTCCATGATTTTCCCAAAATGTGAGGGACGACGTTTGGTTCTCAAACGAAAAAATATGATTAGATCATAACCCAACTCACCGTGTGGGTTGTGTGGAGCCAAAAATAATCAAGAGGCAACACGTTGACTTTTGGATGAAAATGACAAAATTACCCTTGAGGCACACCGAAATTCTTACACGTGAGCAGTGGACAATCATCCCTCAATTAAGTCAAAAGTGCTCAAACAGGTATTTATTTATAACCTATTTCATCCATCCCTCATCATATCTTCTCCACAATGTAACCCCCAAAACAATCATTTTAAATTATGTTAATTAGCTAATTAATGGATTCATTACCTAATTAATCTATTAATGGCTAATTAAACTACCAATCACACCAAAACAATACACAAGAGGCCGGTCACCTTCTCTTCCAAGGGAGCCGGCCATGCCTTATATATTCTACCTCATTTTCTCTAAAAACTTAAGTCTTCAATCTTGCTAAACACTCACAATTCTCCTAACATTTTTCCCTCAAAATTCTAACTTTGGCATTGGAGGTTCTTCGGCCAAACCCCCCCCCCCACATTCATCGTGGGCGCGTGAAGCTCTTAGCCTTGACCTAAGGTGTTATTTGTTTTGTAGGTGCAATTTTGTCCAAGAACAAGGAGGAAGAAATTTGCATCCACAAATTGGTGCTTTCATTGAGAGTTATGTCCCACACTTATGGAAGACTCTCGCATCCAAGGTTTTCTATTTTCTTGTCCATTTGTAGATTTTTCGTACATTCTTATTTTTAGAATTTTTTATTTGCAAAAATTCTTTGGTAAAACGTAAAAGAAAAGTACAATGGCAAGAAATTTGGAAACTTCAACGAACGAAAATTCCAATGTTCAATAGATGGGACCAGGGCGATCCACGAGGCTAAACGTGACAATAAGTGGAG